AAAGTACTGCTCATAAAGCAGGCACCAGGCACTTATAAAGAGCTTACGCACTTTGACTTTGTTGTTGTTTTTGGATTCCCTATGGCAGTGCTCAGAGTGTACTCCTGGTTCTGTGCTCAGGGGTCACTCCTGGCATGGCGGGGGTGGGGAGGTGGGGGGCGTGTCCAGCTAGTTGTTTGCAGGATATACTTGCTGTACTAGCACTCAGACCTCAAGTGCCTAGGCACCTTGTAAAGACTTTTAACCTTCCCTCCTAGCCTCTCAGGCAAATGTATTCTAAGTTTGAATTTCCTGATGAAAGTTGTGACTGGTGGGGGATAAGCAGCTAAGTTGTTTCTATTAGGGTGGTTGAGGTGACATTCAAACCCAGATCTGTATGTGCAAATCTCTGTCTGTTTTCTGTCCCAGCCATTATCAAAACAATGAATGGAGTTTAGAGCTGAGTCCACCTGTCTTGTTTGCTGATTCTGGCCTAGCAGTGCTGATTTGCACAAGATCTTAAATTAGCTAGCAAGCCGAAAACCACTATAAACCTGGATTTTTTTTTTTTTTTGATGGTGTGTTTACATGAGACTAAGAAGAGCCTGGACAGGAGGTTTGGGGTTTGCATTCAACCTAGTAACTAAACTATTGGGTTTATAGATTAGCCTCTTTATCTTTATTTTCCTCATTTGCAAAACAATCTGATCTAATCTCAGTACTGTGAGATTAGATCAGATTCCTCTCAGAAGTTCCTTAAAAACAATGAAGTACAATGTGAAAGCAAAATACTGTTTTTAATCGAGCCAATCCAGTCGTTTAAAGTATCAGGAATAGCCTATTCTTACTTGACATCTCACCTCTGGAGTGAGGATTTTGAAGTTCTTCCTTTGATGAGAGCCAGCACAGCTGAAAAAGGACTGAGGTGGTGCCATTTGGATATTTTCTCGAGCAAGGAATCAGAGTCTCTTGTAACAGACTTGCAGTGGAGTGATCCTGGATCATTCCTGCCGTTCTGGTTTCTGAACTTTTTTTTTTTTTTCTCTAAATAGTAACTCACAGACCTGGCTCAGTGAGCTTTTATAAAGTGAACAGTGGTTTGTTAATTCAGGACAAGAAATAGAACACTGTCAGCCTTTCCCAAAATAATCTCTCTCCTGATTCAACTTAAAAAAATCATTCTAATTAAGGTAATGTGTTTACAGTGTTTTAAAAAATGCTTTCGGGGCTGGAGTGATAGTATAGCGGGTAGGGCATTTCCCTTGCATGTACGTAGCCCACCATTTCCGTCATCCCATATGGTCTCCTGAACACCACCAGGTGCGGCCCCCAGACAAACAAAAGTTACAAAAACTCTCCTGACTTTTATGGCAATCACTTTGTTTTCTTTTAAATTTGAATATCTAAGTATGCATCTTAAATTTTTAGTTTATGTGTTTATTTTTCAACCTCAAAGATGTATTTGCTCTATGCCTTGCTACTTATTATTACAAGATTTCACAGTACTGATACCCTTGCTTTCAGTGTTTATTGTATTTCTTGGGGTGGAAACCAGAACTTCCATACTCTGCATTGGATAGCATGTGGATACCTAGTTTGGGGTTATTACGAATAGCGCTGCTCTGAGCATTTTTGTGTGTATTTTACCTGTTGTACAGGTTCATGCACTTTTGTTGGGTATAATCCTACTAATGAGTGGCTGCATGTTGTACCTTCCAATATGGCAGGTATTTTTTTTAAAGTGTTGGTTGTGCTAGTTTCCATTCCCACCACCACATGAGAGTCCTTATCAAGTCTGGCTTTTGTCAGCTGTTTTAATTTTAACATTTTGTTGGGTTTAGAGTAATACCATGTTTTGTAATTTCTGCTTCTGATGACAAATGGAAGGTGAACAACTCTCATGAGCTTCTGTTATTAGCTTTTGTGAGGTGCGTATTGCTTTGCCCATTGACTGACTTGTACACTGTGCATAGAAGGTCTTGAATAAAGGGTCTTTCTTCCCCCCCCCCCCCCAAAATCTTCTTTTTACTCTCACTACTTTGTAGTACTTACTTTGTCCTAGAGAACTCCACTATACGTGTGGGTTTCTTCTTTTCTGTTGATGTAGTTGTCTTTTCCTTGGATTGATTAATACCACTTTGCCTTAATTCCTGCCGTTTTAAAATAAACCCTGGAATTCAGTGAGAGCAAGTTTCATCACCTTGTTTTACAAAAGTCTCTTGCTATTTGCATTTCTACATATACTTGGAATCAACTTGTGAAATTCCTAAAACACAGTTGGGATTTTTAGTGGAATTTTATTCAATGTGTCGATCAGCTTGGTCACTTAATCACTTATTCGCCAACGTGGCTTGGCACGTGCCTCAGGCAACCACAAGCAAACGTCCGAACTGGCAAAACAGTGCAGAAAAGCCATCAAGGATCAGCTTGGTAGAAATAAAAATTTTGCAACATTGGGAATTCTAATATGTAATTTTTTTTTCATTAATTTTGGTCTTTAAAAAAATCATTCCACTCTTCTGGGAGTACTACTGATTTCTTGTGGCTAGATTTATTCCTTGGTGCTTATAATCATGTAATTAAAAATGAAGATCTAAAATATTACTCTTGCTTGTTGTTTGTATAAAAATGTATTTTTGTTTATTGGGTTTGCATGATGTCTTGATAAACTCACTTATGAATTTTATAACATACTGGTTTTTCTAGATGTTCTTATAATTAGCACTGTAGCACTGTCCTCCTGTTGTTCATTGATTTGCTTGAGTGGGCACCAGTAACACCTCTATTGTGAGACTTGCGGCTGTTTTTGGCATATTGAATATGCAGTGGGGAGAATACGCAGTGGGGAGTGATACATTTGGTAGCTTGCTGTGCTCTCCGAGAGGGACAGAGGAATCAAACCCGGGTTGGCTGCATGCAAGGCAAATGCCCTACCCACTATGGTATCGGTCCAGCTAAGATTATTTTGTCATTAAGCATTATTTGGAATTCAGATACACCATTAAAAAGAGTGTAGAAGCTAGAGAGATTGTACAGAGGTACTTGCCTGCACGTGGTTGGCCTCTTCTATCTTCATATAGTCCCCCAACACTGACAGACTGACAGGAGTGATCTCTGAGCAGAGACAGGTGTAAGCCCTGGGAACTGCTGGGTGTGGTCCCCAAAAAAGAAAAACCCTGAAACCTGAGTCAGTGTGCACTTGGGAAACTACTAACTGTAAAGAACATCTGTCCTACAACTGTCACAATCCACCACCAGTTTTAGGATCTGACCTTATCCTAGGCAGGGTAAGGGGCCTCCCTTGTGCAGCTGTTTGACCCTCACCTCTTGGCATGTGCTTTTTTGCCAAGAGGACTCTCTTTGGCCTGAGGCTGGATTTAAAACTATTAGCTTCGTGCATACAGTGTAATCCTTCTTAGGGAAGCTCTCTGCTAGCCCAGTCCTTGTCCTCAGGAACTTACCTCCACTGGGCAGCTGGTCGGGATCTATCTAGAACCCATGCCTATGACACAGCCCATCTGGTGAGAACAGTCAAATGTGTGTAGTTGCTCCTAATATACACCAAGAAGGTGCTCTTAATATACACCAAGAAGGATTTGAAGCACTTGACAAAACACAGCCAAGCACGGTGCCTATTCTGCTACTGGATTTTAGAGGTGAAGAAAATGAGGCACGTGCAATGGTTTTTTTTTTTTTGGTCCTTTGGTTGAAATGGAAACAGAAGGGCTTGATGTGTAAACATTCCTGATTCAACGTTTAAACATTTCTGTTTAAACCCCAGTGCTCTGTGACTACGGGTACATTTAGGCAATAGGTATGAATCCCTTCAGTGGATCCAGAGTGCATTTGTTTATTCTGCCTCATGACGCTTTCTTTGCTTCTCCTGATGTTTTGATTATACTGGGCCTAGGGGATTTTGAGGATGATTACAAGTGGATGTGCAGTGCATCATACCCACAAGATTTATGGCTCACTGTTCGTCCTTGTTCTAACAAACTTATATAAATACTTAACACAATTTAGCATTTTAATGAAATCAATTCAACGAAGCTGCAGTTTGAGCTTCACTCAGTATTGAAACAGTAGGTCCTAAATCAAAGGACCGCAGTTGTTTGCAGTTTGGTAGCTGAAAACTACAGGTGTTAACGAGGCATTGCAAAAAAAAATTCCGTAATTAATGAATTTGTTCTTCTGATTCTTCTGATGCCCAAGAGACAGTTGCCCAAGGAACGATTTATTTAGTTCTGTTTTGACCCACACGCCCCCTGCTGGCCAAACTGATCGCGTCAAAGTCACGTAATTTGCAAACTACTTTTAGCTTACATGTCGTGGAAAAAGAGATTTTTCTTTTTTCCAAAAATTGCACCAAGATAAAGCGAAAAGCTCTAACTGATGCGAGCGTGTTGTTCAGGTGTTAGCAGTACTGCCCTCACTAGACGTTCATTGGACAGTAGCGCAACCCCAAGAAAAGGATGGTTGGTGGGGGCTTGGCTTGCTCTGCATGCGGGAAGGGCCAATACCAGTTTGGGTTGTGGCGACTAAAATGGCAGTCCAGTCCCAGCCGCCCAGAGCCAGTTTTTGTATGGGTTCGGACCACCGTTCCGGAAACCTACCGTCAACTCCGTGTTTTCCGACGCCTTTGAAGGTGTCAGAGAGACCGCACGGTTTACCCATAAGGCCAAGCGTCCGTCGCGTCTCATTTGCATACGCGTCTCGAGGTTGGGGCCAGTCGGGGGCGGCGTGGGGCGTGGTTTGTTTCCCGGCGGCGCGGTCCTGGCGGGTTTATTTATTTCTTTATTTCTCTTTTTTTACGGGTAAAACCATAGCATTGGAAACAGCGATTTTTAAAGACGAGAACAGCCGCTTCATGCGTCGCCGCGCGTATCCTCCTCGCCGGCACGAGCCCGCCGACTCCAGCCGGCCTCCGAGCCAGACGTGCGGGGTGGTCCCGGGAACGGGTGCGGGAGCGCGCTGGGCCCCCGCGGCCACGGATAACGGGTTCCTGGTGTTTCCGGTTGCAGGTGGTTCTTCTGGGCATGGACATCCTGTCGGCACTGGTCACCCGGCTGCAGGATCGGTTCAAGGCGCAGATTGGCACAGGTGAGCTGTGGGCAGGTGGGGGGGGGCAAAGACTCCCAAGGGTGGGGGCTCTCAAGGTCTCCACCCCTCAGGCCCCATATTTCCCCGCGGTGTTCCCGAACCTTCTTCCTCCCGCCAGCTCCCCTGAGTTCCCCTTTCAGCTTGCCAGCCCCCGCTCCATCCCCCCACTCAACCGGTCTCTCCTGCTGCATCTGCATCTCCTGACCTTCTCTTCTGCAGGGTGGTCGCTGGTCCTTGGACCCCTTCTGCAGACTGCTTCCGTTTTCACCCGCCTCTTCGCCTCTTCTCCCCAACTCCGTGTTCCAATAAGGGATGTCACTGCTCATCCTGCAACATTGCTTCTAATCCCTCCTTTCGCTCCTTCCTTTCTTCTCCTCCTCTCCTTCTCTGGAGGTTCTCTGGAGACCTGGGAACTTCTTGTGATTCGGTGGATGGGGTGCTGCTTGGGCCCTGCCATAGCAGGGGTCCCCAGGACCACCCCTACCTGCAGGGCTGCACCTGGAGCCCCTGCTGCAGGGGTTTACAAGTTCAGCCTGCTGCTTGGAAGGCCCGGTGTTATCTCCTCGGCCACCGGATCCTTTCTCTTACACCGATGAACCATCACACTTACACGGGTCAACTAGAGTCATATTTATTCCCAAATTCCTCCCTTTGGAGAGACTTTTTGTGTTTGAGAATTCCTGCCAATCTGATGCTCCCGTATTTCCCCTCGATGGTTATTGCTGACATTTTGCACTTTGATTATAAATGTTACTGTGTCTGGCATATCGAATACTCTCGGTAGCTTGCCGGGCTCTCCGAGAGGGGCGGAGGAATCGAACTCGGGTCGGCCATGTTGGCCGCTTGTAAGGCGAACGCCCTACCCACTGTGCTATCGCTCCAGCCTAAATGTCATTATACATGTAAAGTGTTCCCTCCTTTGTGAAGGGAAAATCATGTCAGCAAAATGAAATAAAAAGAGCCACAGATCTAGTACATTTAGAGGTGATCTACATGCCTCTAAACCTGCAGCTCTGGCTTGATGACATTTCATAAAGGCACTATTAGCACTAAGTGACTGTCTGTGCATTTCCTTATGCTTTCTCCTTTTAAGGCAGCACACATGTGTTCTTTCCTTTCACTATCTGACCAGTGTGCTGCTTTACATGAGCTCTTTCCATTCTGGCACTCTGCTCATCAAATGAATAAGTTTCCTTCGCTTTTAGAAAATCAATATATTCATGGCATTGCATTTTCTTTCTCCATTAGACAAATTGTTCAGTACAGTTGTTCAGTACTATCTTGTAAAAGGATGTTTTTATAGACCCTTTGGAGATGCAGAGTAGCTGACCCCTGGTATAGGCAGATGCCCTTGAAGCATTTGCTGCTGGCAGCATCCAAGTGTGGCAGAGGGATGGCGCTCCGGTCCCCTTCTGAAGTGCTTGTGTGTTACGTAAGTTTGAGAACACAGCGCAGCTGAGAGATTGATGCTTGACTGCCTGCGCCTGGCAGAGAGACCAGAGCTCCTCTCTCTGACCTGTGTTTCCTTTGGAGGTCATTCACTGGCATTTACTTTTAGTGACATTTCATGGCTTAAAGTATGTGAGGGTGGAGGAAAGTGGGGTAAGACACATGCTGTGTCTGCCTGTTTCAAAGGATTTTGCGGTTTCCTAGAGCAACGTCCTTGGATTGTAGCATGGAGAGCCGAGCTCTGATGAGCAGCGAACTCAGAGCTTAGGCCAGCGTTCAGGCAGGGTTCTGCCCTCCCTCACAGCTGAAGTATCGGGTTGGTGATCTAGACCTCCTCTTGCCCTGGAGGTTTTCACTGAATCGATGTGCATTTTGCTTTCTAGTGCTGCCAAGTTTAATAGACCGACTGGGGGATGCTAAAGACTCCGTGAGGGAACAAGACCAAACTCTGCTGCTGAAGATCATGGATCAAGCTGCTAATCCCCAGGTAGGACCAATAAAGTGCCTCGCTGGTGTTTCTGTGCCTACGTGACATCTGTGTACGAGTCCAGAGGGAAAAAAAGCTTATTGTACCAGCTTCCCTCCCTCTCCCCACCCCCCGCCCCCACCCTCCCATACAGGTTATTTAAATACATGATGTCAGCAGCAGAGGATATACTTTGCATAGACTGGCGGGCTGCCCCCAGGTGATGAGTGCTTGCTTAATCCACCAGAGTCTTGGGCTCACTTACACGGTTGACCCCCCTCTTTCCTCTGCCAAGAGGCAGCTGTGCTGGCTGCGCTGGCAGCTGGCCTGGCTGCAGCCCCTGTCCCGGTCAGCAAGTGAGCTGGGCTGCTGGAGGGCTGGATGGGGAGCACAGCACTGCCTTCTGGGGCTCAGCTGTCTGTTCTTCGGGACGGTTTCATGTGGGATGTCATCAGGAAAAACCCGACGAGCATTAGAAGATGAGCAGCTGTTTGACCAGTGGAAGGCGGCAGCAGCTGTGAGGACAGTTTGATCTGGAAAGTGGCCTCCTTCCTTTCATCATCCTGTCGTCCCTCCTGTGAAAGGCGTGGGGGTGGGGGGTGGGGGGTGGTCACCACACTTCCTTGCAGTGTTCTTGGATGAGTGAAATACAGTTGGGAATGATCTGCAAAGCAGTAGAGCAAAGCATTTTCAGGGTGCTCTTGCCAGAGTGGAGTGGGTTGTGGGAGGGGCCGGGCTCACCCTTTGCAGGGTGCCCCTTCTGCTGGCCACTGTGAGCTGGGAGGTGATGGAGGCCCTGTCCTCCCCCTTTTCACTTGTCCTTTGCCATCCACAGTACGTGTGGGATCGAATGCTCGGAGGCTTTAAACACAAGAATTTCCGGACTCGGGAAGGCACGTGTCTCTGTCTTGTCGCCACACTCAATGCGTAAGTCTCGGGGGAGGAGGGGTCTGGGGGTCTCCATCTGGGAACTTTTTTATTTTCAATTCGTAGTTTGAATTACTCACAGAGTTCCTGGAAGTTGCAGGCGACGTGTCCTGGGTGGTGCATCGTGCCCCTTCCCTCCTCCCCAGCCTTAGCCTCTGGTCTGTTTATGGTTCATTGTCAGTACCAGGAAATTCACATTAATGCGCCTCCCTCGAGCTCAGTCGCATTGCGGCAGTTATTCTCCCACATGCGTATATGTGTGTTCAGGTGTGGCCATGCCCGTGAGCAGCTATGTGCAGTGGGCGATGGAACTGTGATCATAGTCTGCATGGCCCCGCACCATCACCATCCCCCACAGGGCCCAGGCGTAACCCTGGACAGCCCCTAGTCACCATCTCCACATCTTGATTCAAGAGATAGTTCAGTGGGCAGGACACCTGCCTTGCACACCTCTGACCCGGGTGGTTTGATCCCCAGCACCCCATATGGTCCCCCAGACCCCGCCAGGCGTGGTCCCTGAGTAGAGCCTGGCTGAGCAAGCGCTGAGCACTGCCGGGTATGGCCCCAAAACAAAAACAAAGAAACAAGAATGTTATATAAATGGAATCACATAGGATGCAAGTCTCTGAGACTGGCTTTTTTTCATTCATTCATGATTTCCTCAGTGCCAGGGATCAAACTCTTGTCTCCGAGTACGCACATATACAGTCAGTCCTGTTGAACCATCTCTCTGGCCCCCGTTTAATTTGTGGTTTGGTTGTGCCTGGCACTGCTCAGAAGCTATTCTCAGCTCGGTGCTTGGGGGTCCTTCTCGGTGCAGCTCAGGGACCAGATATTGCCGGGACTTAAACCTGGGTCTCCTGCATGCAAAGCAGGCAGAACTAAGAGTGTTGAGAAGCCTCGCTGGCCCCTGTTTTTTAATTTTATTTACTTAATTTTATTTGGTTTTTGGGCCACGCCCCACAGTGCTCAGGGGCTGTTCCTGGCTTTATGCTCAGGAGTATCCCCTTGGGGTGTTTGGGTGACCACATGTAGTGTCAGGGATTAAACCAGTGTCAGCCACGTGTGATGCTAGGACTTTTCTTCCTGTAATATTTCTCCAGATCCCCATCTTAATTTTTAAAAGACCGTAAGCTGTTTTCCAGGGTTTTGTTTTATTTTACCATTTTATAGTTGCACCATCATTGTTAAGTATCATTTAGCTTCTTTACATTTTGGCTAGTGTTGACTTAACACTGTTTTTTTATTCTAGCCATTTCAGTATTTTTACAGTGATAACTCTTTTTTTAGTTTTAATTTGTATTTGTCTTATGGGTGTTGATGTTGAACCTTTTTCATAAGCTTATGGGAGGGAGATGCGTTAAAAAATTAGGCAGTAGGAGCTGGAGAGATAGTGCAATGGGTCAGGCACTCACCTGCATGCAGCTGACCAAGGTTTGATCCCCAGCACAATATATGTTCCTCTGAGCCTTGTCAGGAGTGATCCCTGAGCACAGACCGAGCCAGGAGTAAACCCTGAGCACCTTTGATTATGACATCCCCTCAAAAAATATATATATGTATATACATACATATATTAGATAGTGTTAGATAGATCGGGTTAGAGAGATAGCTCATAGACTGAGTGCTTGCTCTTGTAAGTGGGAGGCCTTTATTTGATCTTTAGACCATGGTCCCCTGAGCACCACTGGGATTGACCCCTGAGCACTGTCAGGTGTTGCCCCAAAACAAAATCAAACAAATTACATATTACTGTTAATGATTATGAAGTAGTAATATTTATACATGTCACCCACAGATAGTCACTCTTAACATGGATCGTATTTTTTTTTTCTATCCTGTAAGGTTTTATTTGAGTTTTGTTTTCTTTGGGGGCCACACCTGGCGATGCTCGGGGTTACTGGTGGCTCCGCATCTGGGAATCACTCTTGGGGAGGTTCAGGGGACTCTGTACAAGGCAGGTGCGCTGCCTGCTATACTCTTGCTCTGGCCCCTACTTTTATTTTTTTTTAAACCAAAATTGGTGTTCGATTGCTTTAATTACTTTGAAAATTTTCACTGTTAATGTGTTAGCCATTTCCATGCTATTGATTAGTTACCATTTCATGAACCGTTTCTAGCCTTGAATCATAGTAGTTTCCCCTCCCAAAAGTTTATCCTAAGGGAGTAATCAGATTGTCAGTGAAAGGTGGTGCACCAAGACTCTGGCTACTGACACTAGCACTTTTGATGGTGAGGAGCTGAAAGGAGTGAGAGGGCAGCATCGAGGTGGGGTCCAGCCAGGACTCTTTCAGCTGTCCCCATTCAGCAGTTACTCTCATTCCTCCCTGGAGCTGAGAGACGTGTGGGTGGAGAATGTGATGCGAATCCGCCAGGCACTTGCGTTGGCTGTGATGAATGAGTTGGGCAGAGAGGGACGGGATGGGGCTGGGGTCATTGTGCTGAGACCGTCGTAAGTGAGGCATGCAGGAATGTGGGGACATCTAGGCTTTGGCTTGGCATCAAAGGGGTGGGACCAGACTGCAGAGACCCTCAAGTGCCTGGGGGGAAGGGGGGGATGGCCTGGCAGTGAGAGGGCCCTCAAGATTTTGCACTCTACAAAGAAGCTGTCGTGGTGGGATGTATGTGTGTGTGAGTGTGTGTGTGTGTGTGTGTGTGTGTGTATTCAGATGGGAGGGAGAGAGCCTTGGTGGGAGGTGGCCCCAGGACCCTGAGGTAGAGAGGAAAGTTGTCTTGCTTTCCCTGCAGGGAAGTGTCTTTCTTTCCCACCAATAATAAAACAATCCTTTTTTTTTTTTCTCCTCCCCAGCTCTGGAGCACATACTTTAACACTAAACAAGATAGTGCCACATATATGTAACTTACTTGGAGATCCCAATAGCCAGGTGAGTGCATTTTGAGGTAGGAGGAACCGAATGGCTATAGACCACGATGAGGCCTTTGGGGATTCTGGGAGGGCCTGATGGGAGGTGTGGGGGATGGAACTTCCAGTATGTGCTTGCCATAGAGTGATGGTTGCTTAAGATACCGCCCATGAGCATTTCTAAGATGCCCAGGTAAGTGTGCTGGCCAGTCTGGGCCCTGTAGAGGACGAGGCATCACTAGCCTATAAAGTGATGTCATCCAGGCTGCTCCCAGACACTGTCCCTGCAGTCCCTCTTCCCTGCCCGGAGCGGGAGCAGGCCAGAGGTTGCCCACTGTGGGGGTGGCGTTGATTGGAAAGGGCCTGAGGACTCTTCTCAGGCAACTGGAATGTTCCTGTTCACTCTCTTTGGTGGCCCCACTGGTATCTTTCACTGGAAACTCCTCGAACTCCCCCTTTAGAAGTGGGTATGCCAATTTATGTGCATTTTATTTGATAAGCAACCCCCTTTCCCTCCCAGCCCCCGCCCGCTCGCCCCAAATGCCCCAGTCCCTCAGTGGAAGGGGGGTGCTGTTGGCCTTCTGGGATCAGCTCCCATTTCTGGGAACTTTTCCAGGCAGCTCCTCAGCCACTTCTCTTGCTTTATCTCATTCCGATTCTCACCGAGTGTTTTTATCTTGTTAGCTCACCCACACTGGGGAAACACAGTCCTCTGTAAAAGGGCCAAAATGGGAACAGACCTACAAAAGTGGTAAACAGGCATCTCATTGCAAGTCTTGGTTTACTGGGATGTGTGTGTGAGTTGGTCTTGCCTTGCATCTACTTCCGAGGCTGTGGTCCGAGCCCTTTCTATTCTCTCCACTCATGCATTGCTTTGCCCCTAGTTCCAGCTACATTTTCTCCCCTTCTGTCTGATGCTGGGCTCCTGCCTCCCTTCCCTTTTCTCTCCCATCTTCGATCTTGCTGGCTCACTGTTGTTCTGGGTCTCCCTGGCATGTTCCCATATCCCTCTGTGCACTCTTCTTATCCAGCCTTCGTGGAAAATGTTTAACATAGAAGATATAAAATACACACACACACACACACACACACACACACACACACACACACACACTCTCCTCCTCCTCCTTCTTCTTCTTCTTCTTCTTCTTCTTCTTCTTCTTCTTCTTCTTCTTCTTCTTCTTCTTCTTCTTCTTCTCCTTCTTCTTCTTCTCCTTCTCCTTCTCCTTCTCCTTCTCCTTCTCCTTCTCCTCCTCCTCCTCCTCCTCCTCCTCCTCCTCCTCCTCCTCCTCCTCCTTCTTCTTCTTCCTGTTATTATTGCTGAGTCTTGCTTTTATGGTCAACATTAGCTTCAGCTTTCTTTGGGCTGGAGAGGGAGTACAGAGGGCAAGGTGCTTGCCTGGTGTGAACTCACCCCATTTCAATCCTTGGCATCACATAGGGACCCTTAGCCCCATTAGGAGTGAACCCTGAGCACAGAGCCAGGAGTAAGCCCTGAGCACTGCCGGGTAGAATCCAATCCACATCCTGCCCCATCCAAATAAAATGTAAAAAAAACCAATGCTTTCTTATTAAATGGATGATTTTTTACTTTGCCCGGCCGCACCCCCCTCCCCCCCTGGTGTTTTGGATCTTGTCTGTATTTTGGTTTTCTGTGTGAGAGAGAAGTCCTTTCTAGCTGTCACAAGTCCGGGCTGCCACTGCTGCTGGTGCCCTTATGTCAAGCAGAAAAGCGGGCGCTGCTCACTGAGGTGATTTATTCCTAGTTCCCAGGCTCAGGTCCAGGCAGGTGAGGCGGATAGACTTGCAGGACCTGTGAGGAGACTGGCGCTCTGTGGGCCGTCTTCCACGGACCCTAACAGGGTTTATTTATAGCCCGAAGATTCCACAGCAAGGACTGTGTACTCACAACTGCCTGAGGAATGCTGCGTGTACATTCAGTCCACAGCTCCCAGAACCCCACCTGTCAGGAAGCCGCCACCCCACTCTCTGGTACTTGGCCGGCGACTTGGCCCTCTCGGGCCCTTTGCATTCAGGCTTTCCCTCCTTGGAGTTTTCTCGTCAGTCTTGAGCACTAGTCTTTTAACCTCGAAGGCCAGGAGTTGGACATGCTTCTCTTTGTCGTCCCAGGACTGCCCGGGGTGAAGCGGACACCCCATCGCTGTTGGGGTGACTTCCTGTGGGCGGCTAGGGCTCAGACTGGGGATGGGGAAGGCTGGACTGGACAGTGCTGTTAGTGCACTTGGTCCCATGCTGTGGTCAGCCCCAGCTCTCCTCCTCCGCAGCTGTGGGTCGAGAGTCCTTCCCCAGCCCTCCCGGCCGCCCTGACACTGAGGGCCCTTGCACTTGGTGTGAGTCGAACTCCCCCGCAGAGAAGATCAGAATCATTTCAGTGTTGGACTGGCGTAGAGCCTGGAAGACTGCTCGGGCTGGCCCATGGGTGTGGGTGCGAAGACTTGCCGCTCTAAGCAAATGGAAAAACCCAACTCCGAATGAAGAGCACCAGGAGGACTTCAGGCTCGGGAGGGGCTCAGTGTGGTCCCAGAGACCTCTTGTCTGTCTAAGCATGGGAAGAAGCCTGGCCTGTATTGCTCCCTTGCGAGCCTGGCATAGGTAGAACAGCAGGACCCCTGGTGCCAGGCAGGCCTGGTCGCAGAAGGCTTGGCGTTCTCTGCCTTCCTCTTCTCTTGACACCTTTGGCTTCTTGAAAGGCTCAGGCATCTACAGAAGCACGAACTTCAGGTCTCAAAATGTCAGAATGCAGCCCCCTGTATCTGTCACCCAGCCCAGCTCAGAAACTAAGACAAAGCCAGTTTTCCATTCGTTTATTTTTTTCTCTCCACCCCATTACTTTGAAGCAAGTTTTAGATTCTTTGCAAACAAATGTTAGGCATCATTTCACTTAATTTTTTTATGTTCTTCGCTTTTTTGATTCTGTAAAGTTTTATTTAAACACGGTAGTTTACAAAGTTGGGCTGGAGCAATAGCACAGCGGGTAGGGCGTTTGTTTGCCTTGCACGCAGCCAACATGGCCGACCCGAGTTCGATTCCTCCGCCCCTCTCGGAGAGCCCGGCAAGCTACCGAGAGTATCTCGCCCGCATGGCAGAGCCTGGCAAGCTCCCCGTGACGTATTCGATATGCCAGACACAGTGACAGCAAAGTCTCAAAATGGAGACGTTACTGGGCCCACTTGAGAAAATTGATGAACAATGGGAGGACAGTGACAGTTTACAAAGTTATTCATAATACAGTCATTTCAGACATTCAGTGTCCCAACACCTGTCCCACCACCAGAGTGACCTTCCGTTTATCAGTGTCCTCTGTTTATCCTTTTGTTTTGTTTTGTCTTTGAGGGAAATTAGACCCTACTCCCCTCTCCTCCCCTTCCATTTGTTGTTTTCTTGTTCACACCCCGTAATGCTCAAGAGTTGCTCCTGGCTCTGCACTCCGGAATTATTCCCGACAAAACAAAACAAAATCTGGGTTTGCCATTTGCAGGGAACTTTCTCTCCAGCCCCAGGGGATGGCCTTCTCTGCGGAGAGTAGCCTCCTGTGCTGCTGGTAGTTCAGGGGAGGACTGTGTTTACTGACATGGAGGCTGTGTCTTCAGGACATGTGGCAGCCTGAGACATCCCACACCACAGGAAGTGTCTGGTGTTCTAGAGCTCTGAATTAACTAACTTCCTTCCTTCCTTCCTTCCTTCCTTCCTTCCTTCCTTCCTTCCTTCCTTCCTTCCTTCCTCCCTCCCCCCCCCTCCCTCCCTCACTCCCTCTCTCCCTCCCTCCCTCCATCACTATGAGGTACAGTTACAGACTTACAAACTTTCATGTTTACGTTTCAGTCATACAGTGATCAAGTACCCATCCTTCTACCAGTGTTCATTCTTCACCACCAATGTTCCCAGTATCCCTCCCACCACACCCTCCCCTCATCCCCCCACCTTGCTCCCTCCTCTGTGGCAGGCACATTCCCTTTTACTCCCTTACTCCTTTAGGGTGTTGTGGTTTGCAGTGCAGGTAGTAAGTGGCCACTGTGTTCGGTCTGTAGTCTACTTTCAGCACGCGTCTCCCATCCCGAGCGGGCCCTCCAAGCACCCTTTATTTGGTGGTCCCTTCTCTAGCTGAGATGCCTTTTCCCCCAGCATGTGAGGCCGGATTCCAAGCTGTGGAGCAATCCTCCTGGTCCTTATCTCTACTATCCTTGGGTGTTAGTTTTCCATTCTGTTACCTTATATTCCACAAATGACTGCAATCCTTCTATGTCTGTCCCTCTCTTTCTGACTCTTTTCACTAAGCATGATACTTTGCATGTTGATCGCTTACATGCAGATTTCATGACTGAGCCCTGAATTCCAGCTCTGTGTCTCGTCAGCCCGCCGGAGGCTGCCCATGAGCATTGCCTCTCTTGGCCAGTGTAAATTGCTCAGGAGTCTGATAACTCATCTTCGAAACCCCAGATCATTTTTTCAGCAGTCTGAGATTGTCCTTGTTCTCATTTCTCCCCGTGGCCGGCCCCAGGCTGTGCTTGCGCCCGTGCTCATGGGTGGAGGAGGTTCCACTGAAACCTCAGACAGGGAAGGTGGGCTGCAAGGAGGCGGCTGCACTGGGCCTTGTGGCTCCTTCCTTCCTGCAAAGCTGACTGGCGCCTGTGCCGGTCTCCGGTGGGGATGTGCAGCTGACTTACAGGTGCCCCTGTCCACACCCCCACCCCTGGGAAGGGAAGTCTCCCTTGACATTTGGGTTCTGAGGGAGCGCTTTCTTCTGACCCCACCTCATGGCTGCATTGTGCTACAGTGAAGAGGGTGGTAGGGCCCGTGGTGAGAGATGGATGCTCAGCACCCGGCCTGGCTGCTCACCTGTCATGGGCCCCAGGACGTGGCCAGCCTTCCAGTGCCCGCATCCCACTCTGCGCCAGCGGGAAGGACAGAGAGCCACCGCAGGCCCTGGACAGCGTCCAGCTCAGGCCTGGCGGGGTGGGGGTGGGGGGGGGCTTCTCTTTCCCAGTCCCAGTGGCCTGAAATGTTGGGCTCTTCCCTACAGTCAGCCCTGGGGGTGGGCACAGGCAGTTCGGAAGCCACTGGGTGGTGTGTCCCCGCGAGTATGACATTGTCCCTGCAGTCTGGGCTGAGCTGCCCTGCTGGATCTTCCCTTCTTACTCGAGCATAGAGCAGAGTAGTGCTGAGGAGAATCTGGTCTCCTGAGAGTCCGGGGTCAGAGGGCGCTAATCCCCTCAACCGGCCTTTGCCCCTCGCGCTTTCACAACCTGTAGGATAAATTACCTACAAGGCAAAGGATGTTTGTCGAAAAATGAAGCAGGTCAATGGTTGTTTTTAGCTGCTGGTCCAGAGTCCGGGGCCAGTGTCCAAAGGTCCCCACCCCTGATGTGGGGAGCCCCACCAGCCTTCGCCCAAAGGGCAGGAGGGATTCACACAAAGCATGTGCTTCCAGCTGTCATGGGAACCGTGTGTGTGGGGGCCCATGGTACATAAGTGTTTTCATTTCACCTTTGGAGTCCAAGTGTCTTGAAAGACTGAATGTGTCACATCCCCGGTACTCTGAGGTGGAGACTCTTTGCTGAGCTTCCGCATTTCCTGTTCATCTGCCCGGGGCCCATACCCGTGCCATTTGTACCAGTCCCCTGCTCCTGTCTTCTGGTCTCGAACATTCAGCTTAGGCAAGAGGAACAGATTATGCTTCGGAGTTTGAAGATTTTCATGCAAGGTTGCATTTTTGCTAAGTGGCCAAGTCAATGCTCAAATTTACTTTTTTGATTTTTTTTTTTTTTGGGTCACACCTAGATTGCACAGGGGTTACTCCTGGCTCATGCACTCAGGAATTACTCCTGGCAGTGCTCGGGGGGCCATATGGGATGCTGAGAATCGACCGTGCGCAAGGCAAATGCCGTACCCACTATGCTATTGTTCCAGCTCCAACTTTTCTGGTTCTAACGCTAGCAATTGCTCCACTCGGTCACCTACACCCTATGACGCTGAATTTTCTAAGTAGCAACTGGGAGGACTAATCACTCTTTAAAGATGGGACTGGTTCAGGCTGGAAACGGAGCTCAATTGTAGATCCCGTGGGTTTGAGCCTCGGCCCCCCACCCCCTCCTTCACCTCCCCCAGGAAGTAGAGATGTGATTGGTTTGGAACAAATACACCACTGGGATGTAAACAGGTGCCACACTTATTCCTGACACTCAGGATGCTAGAGGAGTAGACACTCCTTTGTAACATAAGTACATTTGGACACAGAATTGTTCCCGGCCATGAGAAATTCTCTTCAAAAATAAACAAAATCTGGGTGAGTGAGCTTAGTTGCTGTAAAATCATGTCATAGATGACTGATAGGTTGGGTGACTTAAAAGATGGCAGTATTTTCTTCTCAGTTCCGGGGGGCTGTAAGGTGGGGCTCATAGACATTACATGGGTGGGGTTAGGGGACAGCTTCTTTGCCAGCCTGCAGACAGCCCCCACCTCACTGAGCGCTTTACCCCACACTTGCGTATGTGAGGAGAATGGCACACGCCCTTTGGTGTGCATTATTATCTAGAGAAATAGTCGTTTTGAGGCTGGGGATATGACTCAGGTAGAGCACATACCTTGCTCTGAGTTTGAGTTCCAGCAGTGCATGTCCACCACCACATACTGCTCCCTAGTACGGCCTGAGCGCTGTACGATGAAACCCTATAAGAAGGGGAGAAGGGGCTGGAGCAACGGTATAGCTGGCGGAACTTTTGCCTCGTACTCAGCTGACCTAGGTTTGATCCCTCTCATTCCTTAGGCTTCTCCGGAGCCCGCCAGAAGTGATTCCTGAGCACAGAGCCAGAAGTAGCCCCAGAGTATCACTGGGTGTGCCCCCCCCCCCAAAACATAACAAAGAATCTTTTTCCTGTCAGACCCTCACTATTATGGTCTCATCTAACTTTAAAAGCCTTGGAGCGATAGCACAGCGGTAGGGCGTTTGCCTTGCACGCAGCCAACATGGCCGAGTTCGATTCCTCCGTCCCTCTCGGAGAGCCCGGCAAGCTACCGAGAGTATCTCGCCCGCACAGCAGAGCCTGGCAAGCTCCCCGTGATGTATTCGATATGCCAGACACAGTAACAACAAAGTCTCCAATGGAGACGTTACTGGGCCCGCTCGAGCAAATCGACGATCAACGGGAGGGCCTTAATCTTACAGGCCTTGTTTCAAAATTCAGTCACATTGAGACTGAGGGGTTCAACATAAATTTGGTGGATGCAGTTATCTATAGTGTAAGCTTTTGGTAAAAAGATAATATGGCTTGGTATTTGCCTTTTTTCTATCTAAAGGGGGAAAATGGTCACTTGCCCTGTGTCGTACTGTCACGGAAGTATTTAGAATGGGATATTTTGCTTGTGTTGCACCTTCTTTTTTCCTTTCTATTCTTTGTTTCTTTGATTTTTGATTCTTCGGTTTCAAGCCCAGACCTCAGATTGCTTGAGGCCAAATCTAAAATTATGTGATAACCTTGAATCACTTTTGCCTCTTTCCCCATCCCTCTCTACTTCGCCCTACTCCTACCTCCATAACTAGCCTTGGCAGTGTCTATTTTCTTCCTGTCTTTCACTTGAAAAGTTTTAAACTTAGAGGAGAAAGTGAAGAATAATAGAGCAGATTCCCGTTTTCACCAGTTAGCATCTTGTCATTGTTTTCTAGCTTTCTGTAAATCTGTACATGTGAATGCACATAGAGAAGTAATGTGTTTTTCTTGAAGCTGTCCAGAATTACCTTACAGCTATGGTATTTTAATCCCTAGATATTTTGGTGTGTCTCCTAATCACACACATATTTTGGTATAACCACATGTCATTTTCACATCCAAGAAATTCGTGATTGATACAGTGATAACATTGGATATACAGAGTCCATACTCAAATTTCCCCACGCTGTTTTTGTTTTTTCCTCTCATTTGGGACTTGTTTATTTTGCTTTCTAGCTTGGTTTTGTGTTTGGTCAAGAGCTTGTTCTTCTTGAAGCTTATGGATGCAGCTGTGCTTTCCTTGCAGAACCAGAACCTGTCTGGTAAAATGCTGGTCTAAGCACATTCTCTCCTCTTCCATGAAACATTTCTTGGTATTAGTTTATGTTTTTATGCCCTCCCTTAATGGTGGTATTAAATCTTTGCGTGTGTGTGTTTTTTTTAATTTTTAAAATTTTGGGCCACACCTGGTGGTGCTCAGAGGACCGTGTGTTACCAGGGATTGAACTGGGGTTGGCTACATGCAAGGCAAGCGCCTTACTGCTATACTATTTCTTTGGCCCAATCTTTGTATTCTTATTTAGGTAATATTTACTACATTCTGCCCTGTATTTATGTATGATTATAACTAGGACTTATGGAGTTCTCTTACTTTTTCGTGTTTAGAACTCTGGGCATCTTGAATATGGAGCTCTTTATAATCTGCACTGACCATTTCATTTTTGTTTAAGTATTTAATGCTTTAAAGATGTTTTATTTGTAGTACAATCATTGTAGTGTTTCCCATTTTGGGAAGATGAGTTTCCTGACAGGTCTTTGAAGAATAAAAAGAACCAAGGGATATGTATTTTAACATGGACACAGCGTTGGGACCTAAAGTTTTCTCTTCTTGGGAATTGTACCCATAGAGTGAAAAGTTCAACATGGCTTTATCCAGTACAGTGCAAATAAGGGATGCTATTCATAGCTGCACTAATAAATTGGTGACAGAGTTGAGGTGCTGTGTAGTCTTTGGGTCCCAGCAGGAAGTGCTATGGAGTGACACTGAGCAGCACTAAGTTCTCTTCTTTTTCCTCTAGGTTCGGGACGCAGCAATAAACAGCTTAGTGGAAATTTACAGACATGTAGGAGAACGTGTGAGGGCAGATCTCAGTAAAAAAGGATTACCACAGTCTCGGTGAGTTCAGCTGTTTTTCCTCTCTTCTGTTCTTTCCCTCCTCTTTTTTTTATTCAATATCTTGAATTGCACGACTTAATTTGTTGTAATTTTCCTTAGATAATGTTTGGTTGGATCTTGTCCAGGTCCCCCCATCCTATTTCTGTCTGAGTCCCATCTCTGTCACATCTCTAGCCAGGTCCCATGCTATATATTTTTTTTCCCCATGCTGTATTTTAAAGATGCCAGAAGTATATTTAATGCAAGCAATATGGAAATGTTTGGCATTCTTTTGGTTCACAGAGTTCTTTGGCTTGTATAGAATAGTTGCTTAGAATATTTTGTTTGGGGCCTGGAGTGATAATCTAGCCGGTAGGATGCTTGCCTTGCACGTGGCCAACCTGGGTTCAATCCCCATATAGTCCTTGAGTCTCAGTAGGAGTGATCTGTCTCTGAGCTCAGAGCCCAAAGTAAGTTCTAAGCATGCTGAATGTGATTCCCCAAACCAAAATAAGTAAATAGATTTTGTTAGAATGAATGAAACCTTCACACAACGAGTCTGTATTGAGACATAGAGTAATTCTGAAAGACCTCTTTAAAATGAGAGATGTTTTCATTTTTCTGTTCCTAGATGCCAGTCTCAATATTGAGAAAGTAGCGCATTTTCACAAATTCAAGGCAGTGGGAGTCCACAGATGTCTCTGCTGCCAGAATTTCTAAGAAAACAAAGAACAATTGGATGCCTATCACTTTAACCATGAAAGAGACACCTCAGAGTAAAATCAAGTGTGTCCCACCCCACCCTTTAAGAGACACAGTGCTATGAAAATCCCGGCAAGTTATGGAAAGTTGGACTAGACTCAGAGCAGCTTTTGGGAGCCCGTCTGTGTGTCTGTGAAAACAGCGCAGCCCAGAGACTTAAACTGACTTAAGCAGCTTTAAGCCCTTAGTAAGAGTCATGACAAAGATTGGAACCCTTGAGTTGCCCCGCCACGGGCGGCTCTCCGGCACGGCCATGGCACCAGACGCACAGAAGCCAATCTCGTAATTATCCGGCTCTTGGCAGAAATCCCTCCAGATTTAATTAATAAAGTATCAGAAATCCAAAATCTTATGGTTTTCATAAAAAAAATATTGGAACCCTTTTGTTCAAATTCTCCTTTTAGGGTCTCTACTGCATGGCACAGAGGTAGGGTGTTTGCCTTGCATGCGGCTGACATGGCCAACCTGAGTTTGATTGCTCCGCCCCCTTCGGAGAGCCCGGCAAGCTACCGAGAGTATCTCGCCCGCACGGCAAAGCCTGGCAAGCTCCCCGTGACGTATTTGATATGCCAAACACAGTAACAAGAAGTCTCACAATGGAGACGTTACTGGGCCTGCTTGAGCAAATCGATGAACAATGGGAGGACAGTGCTATAGACAGTGCTACTCCATGGTACAGAGTTTTTGGAATAGTGAGTATCTAGATACAGGCTAGAATAGGAAATACATAGGACTCCTGTTTTGACGGCCATTTCTCATATTGGAAGGGATGGATCCCTTGTCTTCAAGTCAGGGTTCCATTGAGTATGCAAATAGGCTACTATTTTGTAGTCATATCTAACTTTCATGACTTAGACTTTGTCTTATTGACTCAAGGCAGGAAAATTAGGAATAACACTGCCCTTTTTGCCCCTTTTTTTTTTTAATTTAGACTGAAAGACAATCTGGGAAACCGGAACTAGAGGTCTCTTTTTTATTTTTAAATTCTGTCTTTGTCTCTCAGCCTTTTGGTCTTTGAATACTTGGTGAGAAAACTCCAAGCAGAAATGCATATTTAAGGACCACAGTTCCTCATAAGCTGGAGGGGTTGGGGGACACAGCTGAGGTGGGGGAGGGGTGGCAGAGGCTGTTCAGTTGTGACATCAGTGGCATTGTTAGGACACAGGTGTTGCGCGGGTGAGACACTCTGTAGCTCCGGAAGGCCTCCAGTATGCTCAGAGCTCCTGGTGGCCCCAGGTCATGAACGGGCCACCTGACACCGTGGAGTTTGAAGGTTCCTACAAGCAAGCGAATGGGCACAGGGAAATGACATGGTGAAGCTGAAATTAGAGACGTGAGTAGAGGACAGCTCCAAAGGCCTGAGCCCGCAACCCGGGCCTGCCTTGTGTCCGTGACCGTGGAGTTTTCACAGAGTGGATCCCAGCAGCTCACTGGCCCACACTGGCTCTGTGCTGAGCCCAAGTGCTCCCAGAGGATGAACGTCCCAGTGGAAGCTCTGTCCCTTCAGATTCTTTTATTATTATTATTGTTATTATTACTGTAGCACTGTCCTCCCATTGTTCATCAATTTGCTCGAGTGGGCCCAGTAATGTCTCCATTGTGAGACTTGTTGTTACTGTGTTTGGCATATCAAATACATTACAGGGAGCTTGCCCAGGCTCAGTAGCTTGCCGGGCTCTCCGAGAGGGGCAGAGGAATCGCGGAGGAATCGAACCTGGCTCGGCCAGCCGGCCTTGAGCAAGGCAAACGCCCTACCGCTGTGCTATCGCTCCAGCCCTATTACTACTATATTATTATTAATAACAGAGAGAGCAGGAGGAGCTGTTGAGCCACACCTGGCAATGTTCAGGGACTTCTTCCAGCGCAGTGGGGGGGTCACTCCCAGCACTGTTGGGGGACCAGATGGTACTAGGGATAGAACCAGGGCCCACATCCTGTAAGAATTTCTGGGAGACCTTAGCACACCTGTGTGACTCACCCAGAGAGGGTTTAGAAAGCTGGTGCCTGGTTTCCTTTTGACTTCAGCCCAGCACCTTTCCCTTTGGTACTTTTTTTTTTTGTACTATTACTACTATTTTTTGGGTCCTTTTGCTATACTAATCATAATTGGAATGTGACTATACTTTGGAAATTTCAAGACTGCCTAATGCATATTTATTTATTTATTTACTTACTTATTTTCACTTTGAGAGGTCACACCCGGCAGTGCTCAGGGGCTACTCCTGGCTTTCCAGTCAGGAGTTAATCCTGGCAATGCTCAAGGGATGTAGAGCTCGAATGTGGGTGGGCCACATGCAAGGAAGGCAACCGCCTTACCCCCTGTACTATGGCTCTGGCCCCGCCTAATGAATTTTTAAACCCTAGAGGTGGACTTGGTGCCTGTGAGGGTTATACCACACCCCCACCTCCACTCCAGCAACTCTGAGAATTGATTTGAATAAGATCCCAAAGGCAGTTAAAACTAGAGCTGCAGCTCGACTCCTGTTCTTTTTTTTTCCCCTCTGTGTGGGCAGGGTTGGGCCACATGCGGGGGGGTCTAGGTGATTACTCTTGGCTCTGTGCCTAAGGATCACTCCTGGCAGTGCTTAAGGATCACATAGGGTGCCAGAGATGGAACCTGAGCCAACCCTGTGCACGGCAAGCACCCTACCCACTGTACATCACTCTTACCCATACTCTCGTTCTTTCCATGACTGTCCTCCTTTTCTGAAAAACCGACAAACAAAAAACTTATTTGAAAAAAAGTAACACAAACATTTAGGCCTCTATCAATAGGAATGAAGATTTATGCAATATCCAGATACTTAAAATTCTTTCTAAAAGTTCTGACTCAAATGGTGCATTATAGGCACTGGAGCGATAGCACAGCGGGTAGGGCATTTGCCTTGCACTTGCACGTGGCCAACCCGGGTTCAAATCCCCAGCATCCTGTAAGGTCCCCTGAGCACCGCCAGGAGTTAATTCTTGAGTGCAGAGCCAGGAGTAACCCCTGTGCATCGTCAGGTGTGACGCACAAAAAAACAAAACAAAAAGAAAAAAATGGTGCGTTATTCATCTAGGACAACGGAACTGCATAGTTTGCCACCACTATTATAAAGCTCTGGCGAACACTGTGCTTAGCGAACTTAGTTCTGAGTTCTTAAGACTTTATTCTGATGAAAGATGTGGGAACCTCATGTTTCTTTATATTCATTGCATGACATTTAGCAAGATCCAGTACTGTGAGAATCAAAGACTGGCTAATGCCTTCATTTTGTCCAGGATATGTCCAAACAATGGTATTTTGAAAGAATGATGCCATTGTTAGGGAAATGCTGGGCCTTGCATTATGTGACTCCAAGTGGTCAGTGCAGTTGTGTATTCCAGAAAATAATTTGATTTGTCTATTGAGCAGTGTCCCTGGTCCAAAGATCCATGTTAGTTTTTGTTCATCTGAGGAAATGGTGATTGGATGGTAATGATTAGTTACCTGTTCTTTTGGATGTTTAAAGTTCGTTGGGGTTAGGTTTAGGCAAATTCTGTTCTCAAGACAGGCATTTTCTATGATCATTAAAGCTAGCAGGTAAAAATTATTTATAGTGAATGTTTTGTTGGTGTAAAACTGTAACAAAACCAATTTACTTGACTTTTCAGGGTGTTAGTTTTGTGTGTGTGTGTGTGTGTGTGTGTGTGTGTGTGTGTGTGCGCGCGCACATATGTTTTGGTTCATCTCCATCAGTGCTCAGGAGATCACTTGTTGTGGAGAATCAATCAAACAGGGTCGCAGCTAGTTCCTGTTACAAACCTCCATTTGATAGGGTGGTGTTGACTTGGAATAACACAGGAGTGTGAGAGTTGAGGGATTCTGAATCCACATGTATGTGTCACCAAACTTCTTTTCATTGTTCTCATACTTGCCAGTTGCAGGTAGTGTAAATAGACACTATCTTACATAGTCTACAGACTTTTCCCTTTTGTTCCATGAACAGAATAAACATCTCCTTCCAGTAATTTCAGAAATAGCCAGACTAGAAATATTTTCCAGGCACTTACTTGCACATATGCGAGTGTGTTCACTTCAGTGGGTTTGGCTATGACTCAGTGAAATGGTTACTCGGACCGGACATGTCTTAGCATCCAGAGTCATGAAATTACTTGGGGGCTTGTCACACTATTCTAGATCTTTTTTTTTCTTTCTTTTTGCGAAAAGGAAGGTAATGGAACGATCATCAGAAATTGCTTCTAAGCATCTTTGCAGATCTTGAGTCACCTGGATTTGCAAGTGAGCGATGTTTCACAGATCCCAAGGAGACAGACTGACTTGCAGCTGATGTCAACTTGGATTAATTGATGGGGGTACATGTAACAGTTCTGAGATGGCTTCTGAGGACTTTTATAGGTTTAGAAGGATGGGCTATAAAGAAGTACAAGTTCTAGTGGTGCTCCACACACTTAGCATCTGTCCAACTCAGGGCAATCCATTCATTAAGACCAGAACGTGAATAACTGCAGTTTCCTTGTAGGGAGGATAGGGACAAGACTGAGGTGTTGGCGTTCTCATGCTGGGATATAATTGTCCCTACGTGATGTGCTGTCCGTGTGTACCGAATATCATATTCTGACATTGGGTAGGTTTCCACCCTACACAGGGAGCTTCCATTCTGGTTGTGAGAAAAGGCACCTGTATTTGACTAGACTAGAATTTTCATGATGGATAACTTGGAAGAAACTGCACATTTTTAATTTGTCTGGCCTCTGAAATTTGTCATGTCTCTGAAATAGGTTAAATTGCAAGAGGATTTCGTTGACGTTTCTACTAGCAGGCTTATTCCACTGTACACATGAATCTTTCCTAGGAACGTCTTTTTTTTTAATCGCCCCCCCCCCCCCCCGTTTTCCTCTCACTTTTGGTTCACTAGGATGGAATATATTAGCCAGATCAAGAGCTTTTGCTTCAATTGTAATGTCAAAAGTGAAAATGATTCATTAATAGAAAATGTCATTCAGATTTGTGAAGCTGAAGATCATTCAGTCACAATGTTTGTTTCTAGAGAAATTATAGCTCTTTGGAATTTAGCATAAGTCACTGAGAAGCCTTTGTGTTGTAATACAGTACATTTTGAAACTCTCGATTTAAGAAATTGACAATCTGGGGCTGGAGCAATAGCACAGCGGGGAGGGCGTTTGCCTTGCACGCAGCCGACCCGGGTTCCATTCCCAGCATCCCATATGGTCCCCCGAGCACCGCCAGGAGTAATTCCTGAGTGCATGAACCAGAAGTAACTCCTGTGCATCGCCGGGTGTGACCCAAAAAGAAAAAAAAAAAAAGAAATTAACAATCTGTGTTTAGAAACTGAGAAAAAGACACTTTGTTAATGTATGCATTTTGTGTAAAGTACTCAGTTTAATACAGTGTTTTAAAGCACACTGTATATTTATTTATATGTCTGACTGGCAATTTCACCCATTTTTGGTCATCTTAATTGTATTGATCCTTTATTAATTTTATATATTTGTTGTTTCGAGGATTGAGATCTTTGTGACTAGCCCTTTGCCAGTATTTGGACCATCCTAAGAGCTTTATTATTGTTTACTATTGTTTAATACTATTGTGATTACTTTTTGTTATTAGGGTGGGGATATGATTTTAGGGTTAAAAGATTCAGGTTCAAGTTAGTGTTTTACATAGTTTTCTATAAATAATGATGCATGATGGTATGTATACATATAAATGTATGTATTTTCTACACAGGTTGAATGTGATTTTTACAAAATTTGATGAAGTCCAAAAATCTGGGAATATGATACAATCTGCAAATGGTGAGTAGAAGCTGTCAGCCTATTTTTGCCCTTCAGTTTTATGCCAGGAATTTTGTGCGATTTCCGAAGAGGTGGGCTTGGTTTCTTCACAAGAGCATCTGTGTATTCAGAGATAACCTCCATTTAACTGTCCTCGCCAACTCAAAACTATTGAGTTGTTACTGGCTTTTTCTTAATTTATATTGAATCTTGTTGAGTCGACTTTTCAAAAATATATCTAGAATCCTGGTGACAGTTACCGTCACTGTCACTCTCTTCCTATATAAACTGTTGTGTCTTACTGGTGCTACTGTAGTAACCTCCAAATCAATATCTTTGCTGTTACTCTCTCAGATATTGTTGCGTCAGTTTTTCTCCACAAACCAGAGCAATTCTTTTAGGACGTAACGAATGATGTTAATCCTTGTTTAGAATTCTGTGAAGGTTTCCCTGTAGGTAGGAACTCCAGCTCAGTAATCCACTGAGCCATGCGTGATTTGATGTCAACACTGTTCTGATGTCATCTTAGATGGTTGGTTCTTTTGAGACATTCTCATAGCTTAAGCCTCCCACTGGTCCCTTCACTAATTTTTAACATTCTGAGCTTCTCCTACTACAGCGACCCTTGTGCTTATCATTTCTTCTACTTGAAACGTTTGTCCCCAAGTGTCACTATGGCCCTTTTCCTTATCCTTTTAGGACTTGGTAGCTGTATCACCCGATTATAGAGATTGTCCAGAATATCAGTTCTTTGTTCTAAGGGCCCTTTGTACTTTATTTGATTTTCCTTCTCCTTCTGAACAAACATCACTGCAGACATTTTTGTTTGTTTATTCATAATGATAAGAGCTTTGTTTTATTCCTTTTGTTTTAAGTGCTTTAAAAAGTTCCTGGTGGGGCGAAGTGATAGTGCAGTGAGTAGGGCGCTTGCTTTGCACACAGCCAACCCAGGTTTGATCCACAGCACCACATATGATACCCTGAACCCTGCCAAGAATGTTACCTGAACAGAGCCAGGAGTAAGCCCTTAGCGCCACCAGGTGTGGCCCCCAAACAAACAAAAGATCCTGGAATGGGTAGAAATGCAGCAAAAATAAATAAGTTAAATAAAGTGAAGCAAAAATATTTTTATTGAAAGAGGTTTGAGAAAGGGGGGAGAGGAAGAGGGGAGAGAACACAAACTTCTCCAGGGAGGGATTTAACAATTGTGAAATAAGTGAAATACAGGCTTGAATTGTGACCGATGATCTCCAGTGTCTGTGTTCCTTTCATTATGCTTGATAATGTTCTTGGAAGATAAATGGATAATTCCAGAAGGGGAGAGGGTAAAGTGAACATGAAATTATCAAAGAGTCAGATGCCATCAAAATTGTTTCTTTTTCTGGGTGCCTCATTTTTTTATAGCTGTTTTAGGATTATTAGAGAGCTTCACATTTCAAAATGTGAAGATCTCAGCATGTGAAAAACTAAGTAATATCACTTAAGGCAGTTTAATATAGAAGTACGTAGCAGGGACAGAATTCAGATCTTTAGGATCTATATAGCTACCATTATCAGTGAGAAATTTGGCTTCAGATTTCATTCAAGAAATAAAATGCTTGATGTGCCCAAAATGATTTTATAAGCTGTTTTTTTATTTGTAAAATTACAGTATTAAAAGAACCAGTAAAAAATTTTAAAATATAACTTAATTCAGCCACTAATAGTATATATTTTTAATTTTCTTTCTTTTATTTTTTTTGGGGGAACCACACTCAAAAGTGCTCAGCTTATTCGTGGCTCAGGGATCATTTACTCTTGGTAGGGCTTAGGGGAACCTTATGTGGTGTCAGGGATTAAGCCCCCGTCAGCCTTGTGACAGGCAGTTGCCTTACCCTCGATCTTATTGCTCTGGCCTCTCATTTTTCATATATTCTATTAGAACTCATTTTTCTATAACTGTATGTGTGTAATTTTAACTACAGCAACAGTTTTGTAAATTCACTCCCTACTTTTTTGTTGTTGTTGTTGTTGTTTGGGTCACACCCGGCAATGCACAGGGCTTACTCCTGGCTCTTCACTCAGGAGTTACTCCTGGCAGTGCTCAGAGGACCATCTGGGATGCTGGGAATCGAGCCTGGGTTGGCCGCGTGCAAGGCAAATGCTGTATCGGCTGAGCTATTGTTCCAGCCCCTCACTCCCTACTTTAATGTATACTTTTAAATATAGAAACGTATATCTCCTTCTACCTGCTGTGATATGACTCCGGGCCCTACGTGTGCTTTTAAAAACATGTTGTAGGTAAAGCTAGAATCATCTCTGACCTTAGGTCCTGCTCCAGTGGTGAGTGGGCTTGACTGTGGGTACAGGGGCTGCCAGCACGTCAGCTGCACACACGCTTTTGTTCCTGAGCTGGGGATATTTGTTTGATTCCGTTTGCCACTTGTTGCTACTAATACAAAGTGCAGGGCAAGTAGGTGATTGAGTGAAGCAAATGTATGTCTTGTAGCTTATATTGAAACTCTGAAGCGAGGTTAGAAAACTACACACCAAGATCATAAATGTCCACACAATTGTAAACACATTTCCTAAACTTAAAAAAAAAAAGAGCATCTCTGAAACAAAATCTTATTTTAACACTGGCACTGGGAGGAGGATCACGTCCATGTTGAAATCCCTGCCTAGAAGTGATCTGATCTCTCTCTGCATACAGCAAATAAGATTTTGTCATATCAAAATCTTGGATTATCAAGATTTTGGAATATCAAAGTCCTGAGCCAGAGCGATAGTACTGTAGGTAGGGTGCTTGCCTTGCACGTGGACAGCCCTGGGTTCGATCCCTGGCCTCGCATATGATCCCCTGAGCACTGCCAGGAGTAATTCCCAAATGCAAAGCCAGGAGTAAGTTCTGAGCATCACTGGGTGTGGTGCAAACTCTGCCCCTCTCCCCCACAAAGATTGCCTCTGTGTTTCATTATTTCTGTGTTTGTGTGTATGAACATGTAATTGCCCAGATTGGCTATATATGTGGCATAAGGGTAGAGCTGAGGAGGAAAGTTGTGATTTTGGAGTGATCTTGCTTCCCTTTAGTATGTTAAAATTGCCAGTGACTTGTCTTTACATTCTGAACTTGATCCTAGGCCTTTTCCTTCTATAAGTGCTCATTCCATTTCATTGCGCTGTTATATTTTCATGCTGCTGGAATTGAATTCAGGGCCTCACCACATGATACCTGCACTCTGCCCCTGAGCCACTTGCCTCTTGACCATAGCGAGCCTCAGTGTAATAACTCAACACCTGCCTGATGGACCTTTTCCATCTGAATGTCCTAAGTCCCTGCATCTAGATACAGAGACATACACTGTTTTCTGTTGGAAGACAAAGACACAAAAGCAACGAAATATATCTAACTCCCATAATCTTTCTGTGATTTCTATCAGTGATTGCATCATTGTCCATTTAGACAAGGAAATAAAGTTGTGGCTGTAACCTCTGATGCCTCTCTTCCTCACCTCCCATGTATGTCATCACTGATTTCTTTGTAATTTTTGGTTGGTGTCTGTATGGGGTCACATCTGGCGGTGCTCAAATGAGATCCATGCAGTGTCAGGGATTGAACCTGGCTTCTGTGTGCAGAGTATGTGCGCTGGCCCACTATATCATCTCCTTAGTTCTGTTTCATTTCTCCCCTTTTCTTTTACTGCTCAGGTAGCCTAGGGACCGTTCCCACAAAATGCTCGGCCAGCCAGCCCAGATGATTCAGTACTGAGGATGTGGGCCTCCCCAGTTAAGCTTGGTGGCTTTGAGGGGGGACTATCCCTGGTGGTGTCATGGAGGCATCTCTCCTGTGTTCTCTCTCTCCAGCCTCAGGATTCCTTGGATTTGAACTCATACATACATATATATATATATATATATATATATATATATATATTTGTGGGCTGGAGCGATAGCACAGCGGGTAGGGCGTTCGCCTTACAAGCAGCCAACATGGCCAACCCGAGTTCGATTCCTCTGCCCCTCTCGGAGAGCCCGGCAAGCTACCGAGAGTATTCGATATGCCTGACACAGTAACAACAAAGTCTCCAATGGAGACGTTACTGGGCCCGCTCGAGCAAATATATATTTGTATTCATCTGCTGCTAACTTCTCTTCCTCATTCTGATCACCGCAGTTCTGCTTTGGCTACACGATTAAAATAGCCTTTTATCACTGCCTCCCTGCTTGCCTCTCCAATCTGTTCTTCAGTTGTAGAACTTTCCCAGAATGAGAACTTAACTTTTTTTTTTATCTCCAAATAAAAACTGCTAAATGAGACTAAAAGTAAAGTAAAGTAAAGGCCCTCCCGTTGATCGTCGATTTTTGCTCGAGCGGGCCCAGTAACGTCTCCATTGGAGACTTTGTTGTTACTGTGTCTGGCATATCGAATACTCTCGGTAGCTTGCTGGGCTCTCCGAGAGGGGCGGAGGAATCGAACTCGGGTCGGCCATGTTGGCCGCTTGTAAGGCGAACGCCCTACCCGCTGTGCTATCGCTCCAGCCCTAAAATTTGATTTGATTTATCAGATCAGATCAAATGAGACTAAGATTAAAAAAAAGACTACTCTCCTTTTTCCTTTACTCAGGGCAATTTTTAAAAGCCCTGTGAATAGTTCCTGTGCCTTATCTTGATGTCAGTTAAGATTTCAATTTTTCAAATGTTGGAGCAGGTTGGCCATTACTGTTTGAGGTGGACGCATCTGTAGCCCACGATGTGGATAAGCTCAGCTGAACGAGGCTCCGAGTGGGAAAGTCTGTTCAGTCTCTCCCGTTGCTTCCTTATTTAGGAGATTTCAAATGAACATAAAAAAGAAAATAGAGAAGGAGGATAAATCGTTTCCATATAGCCGTGACTTAACTTCAACAGTAATCAGTACTTGGACAGTTTTTACATCAATGCCAGCAGCATGAAAAATACAACAGCGCAATAAAATGGAATGAGCACTTATAGAAGGAAAAGGCCTAGGATCAAGTGTTTAGAATGTAAAGACAAGTCACTGGCAA